GTGCATAAGCTTTTAAGTTTCATTAGGTCCCATTTGTTTATTTTTGTTTTTATTTCCATTTCTCTAGGAGGTGGGTCAAAAAGTATCTTGTGATTTATGTCATAGGGTGTTCTGCCTATGTTTTCCTCTAAGAGATTTATAGTGTCTGGCCTTACATTTAGGTCTTTAATCCATTTTGAGTTTATCTTTGTGTATGGTGTTAGGGAGTGTTGTAATTTCATTCTTTTACATATAGCTATCCAGTTTACTCAGCACCACTTATTGAAGAGGCTGTCTTTTCTCCATTGTATATTCTTGCCTCCTCTATCAAAGATAAAGTGACCAGGGCTTCCCTGGTGGTGCAGTGGTTGAGAGTCCCCCTGCCGACACAGGGGACACGGGTTCGTGCCCCAGTCCGGGAAGATCCCACATGCCACAGAGTGGCTAGACCCATGAGCCATGGCCGCTGAGCCTGCGCATCCAGAGCCTGTGCTCCACAATGGGAGAGGCCACAACAGTGAGAGGCCCGTGTACCACAAAAAAAAAAAAAAAAAGATAAAGTGACCATATGTGCATGGGTTTAGCTCTGGGCTTTCTGTCCTGTTCCATTGATCTACATTTCTGTTTTTGTGCCAGTACCATATGGTCTTGATTACTGTAGCTTTGTAGTACAGTCTGAAGCCAGGGAGCCTGATTCCTCCAGCTCCGTTTTTCTTTCTCAAGATTGCTTTGGCTATTCGGGGCCTTTTGTGTTTCCATACAAATTGTGAAATGTTTTGTTCTATTTCAGTGAAAAATGCCATTGGTAGTTTGATAGGGATTGCATTGAATCTGTAGATTGCTTTGGGTAGTATAGTCATTTTCACAATATTGATTTTTCCAATCCAAGAACATGGTATATCTCTCCATCTGTTTGTATCATCTTTGATTTCTTTCATCAGTGTCCTATAGTTTTCTGAGTAAAGGCTTTTTACCTCCCTAGGTAGATTTATTCCTAAGTATTTTATTCTTTTTGTTGTAGTGGTGAATGGGATTGTTTCCTTAATTTCTCTTTCTGATCTTTCATTGTTAGTGTATAGGAATGGAAGAGATTTCTGTGCATTAATTTTGTGTCCTGCTACTTTACCAAATTCATTGATTAGCCCTAGTAGTTTTCTGGTAACACCTTTAGGATTCTCTATGTAAAATATCATGTCATCTGCAAGTGACAGTTTTACTTCTTCTTTTCTGATTTGGATTCATTTTATTTCTTTTTCTTTTTTGATTGCTGTCACTAAAACTTCCAAAACTATGTTGTATAATAGTGGTGAGAGTGGGCAACCTTGTCTTGTTCATGATCTTTGTGGAAATGATTTCAGTTTTTCACCATTGAGAATGATGTTGGCTGTGGGTTTGTCATATATGGCCTTTATTATGTTGAGGTAAGTTCCCTTTATGCCTACTTTCTGGAGGGTTTTTACCATAAATGGATGTTGAATTTTGTCGAAAGATTTTTCTGCACCTATTGAGATGATCATATGGTTTTTCTCCTTCAATTTGTTAATATGGTGTATCACATTGATTGATTTGCATATATTGAAGAATTCTAGCATTCCTGGGATAAACCCCACTTGATCGTGGTGTATGATCCTTTTAATGTGCTGTTGGATTCTGTTTGCTAGTATTTTGTTGAGGATTTTTGCATCTATGTTCATCAGTGATATTGGCCTGTAGTTTTCTTTCTTTGTGACATCTGTGTCTGGTTTTGGTATCAGGGTGATGGTGGCCTCATAGAATGAGTTGGTGAGTGTTCCTCCCTCTGCTATATTTTGGAAGATTTTGAGAAGGATAGGTGTTAGCTCTTCTCTAAATGTTTGATAGAATTCGCCTGTGAAGCCATCTGGTCCTGGGCTTTTGTTTGGTGGAAGATTTTTAATCACAGTTTCAATTTCAGTGTTTGTAATGGTCTGTTTATATTTTCTATTTCTTCCTGGTTCAGTCTCGGAATTTTGTGCTTTTCTAAGAATTTGTCCATTTCTTCCAGGTTGTCCATTTTATTGGCATAGTGTTGCTTGTAACAATCTCTCATGATCTTTTGTATTTCTGCAGTGTCAGTTATTACTTCTTTTTCATTTCTAATTCTATTGATTTGAGTCTTCTCCCTTTTTTTCTTGATGAGTCTGGCTAATGGTTTATCAACTTTGTTTATCTTCTTAAAGAACCAGCTTTTAGTTTTATTGATCTTTGCTATTGTGTCCTTCATTTCTTTTTCATTTATTTCTGATCTGATCTTTATGATTTCTTTCCTTCTGCTAACTTTGGGTTTTTTTTGTTCTTTTTCTCTAATTGCCTTAAGTGTAAGTTTAGGTTGTTTATTTGAGAAGTTTCTCGCTTCTTGAGGTAGGATTGTATTGCTGTAAACTTCCCTCTTAGAACTGCTTTTGTTGCATCCCATGGGTTTTGGGCCATCGTATTTTCATTGTCATTTTTTTTCTAGGTATTTTTTGATTTTCTCTTTGATTTCTTCAGTGATCTCTTGGTTATTAAGTACTGTATTGTTTAGCCTCCATGCGTTTGTATTTTTTACAGATTTTTTTCCTGTAATTGATATCTAGTCTCATAGCATTGTGGTCAGAAAAGATACTTGATAAGATTTCAGTTTTTTAAATTTACCAAGCCTTGATTTGTGACCAAAGATATGATCCATCCTGGAGAATGTCCCATGAGCACTTGAGAAGAAAGTGTATTCTGCTGGTTTTTGATGGGATGTCCTGTAAATATCAATTAAGTCCATCTTGTTTAATGTGATATTTAAAGCTTGTGTTTCCTTATTTATTTTCATTTTGGAGGATCTGTCCATTGGTGAAAGTGGGGTGTTAAAGTCCCCTACTATTTTTGTTTACTGTCGATTTCCCCCTTTATGGCTGTTAGCATTTGCCCTATATATTGAGGTGCTCCTATATTGCATGCATAAATATTTACAGTTGTTATATCTTCTTCTTGGATTGGTCCCTTGATCATTATGCAGTGTCCTTCTTTGTCTCTTGTAATAGTCTTGATTTTAAAGTGTATTTGTCTGATAGGAGAATTGCTACTCCAGCTATCTTTTGATTTCCATTTGCATGGAATATATTTTTCCATCCCCTCACTTTCAGTCTCTATGTGTCCCTAGGTCTGAAATGGGTCTCTTGTAGACAGCATATATACGGGTCTTGTTTTTGTATCCATTCAGCCAGTCTATGTCTTTTGGTTGGATCATTTAATCCATTTACATTTAAGGTAATTATCGATATGTATGTTCCTATTAGCATTTTCTTAATTTTGGGGGGTTTGTTATTGTAGGTCTTTTCCTTCTCTTGTGTTTCCTGCCTAGAGAAGCTCCTTTAGCCTTTGTTGTAAAGCTGGTATGGTGGTGCTGAATTCTCTTAGCTTTTGCTTGTCTGTAAAGATTTTAATTTCTCCGTCAAATCCGAATGAGATCCTTGCTGGGTAGAGCAATCTTGGTTGTAGGTTTTTCCCTTTCATCACTTTAAATATGTCCTGCCACTCCCTTCTGGCTTGTAGAGTTTCTGCTAAAGATCAGCTGTTAACCTTATAGGGATTCCCTTTTATGTTATTTTTTGCTTTTCCCTTGCTGCTTTTAATATTTTTTCTTTGTATTTAATTTTTGATATGTTGATTAATATGTGTCTTGACACGTTTCTCCTTGGATTTATCCTGTATGGGACTCTCTGTGCTTCCTGGACCTGATTGACTATTTCCTTTCCCGTATTAGGGAAGTTTTCAACTATCATCTCTTCAAATATTTTCTCAATCCCTTTGTTTTTCCCTTCTTCTTCTGGGACCCCTATAATTGAATGTTGGTGAGTTTAATATTCTCCTAGAGGTCTCTGAGACTGTCCTCAATTCTTTTCATTCTTTTTTCTTTATTCTGCTCTGCAGTAGTTATTTCCTCTATTTTATCTTCCAGGTCACTTATCCATTCTTCTGCCTCAGTTATTCTGCTATTGATTCCTTCTAGAGAATTTTAAATTTCATTTATTGTGTTTTTCATCATAGTTTGTTCGGTTTTTTTCTTCTAGGTCCTTGTTAAACGTTTCTTGTATTTTCTCCATTCTATTTCCAAGATTTGGGATCATCTTTACTACCATTACTCTGAATTCTTTTTCAGGTAGACTGCCTATTTCCCTTCATTTGTTTCGTCTGGTGGGTTTTTACTTTTACCTTCATCTGCTGAGTATTCCTCTGTCTTCTCATTTGCTTACCTTACTGTGTTTGATGTCTCCTTTTTTGCAGGCTGCAGGTTCCTAGTTCCCATTGTTTTTGGTGTCTGCCTCCAGTGGGTAAGGTTGGTTCAGTGGCTTGTGTACGCTTCTTGGTGGAGGGGACTGGTGCCTGTGTTATTGTGGATGAGCCTGGATCTTGTCTTTCTGGTGGACAGGACCACATCCAGTGGTGTGTTTTGGGGTGTCTGTGAACTTATTATGATTTTAGGCAGCCTCTCTGCTAATGGGTGGGATGTATTCCTATCTTGCTAGTTGTTTGGCATGGGGTGTCCAGCACTGTAGCTTGCTGATCCTTGAGTGGAGCTGGGTCTTAGCATTGAGACGGAGATCTTTGGGAGAGCTCTCACTGATTGATATTAAGTGCGGCCAGGAGGTGTATGGTGATCCAATGTCTTGAACTCGTCTCTCCCACCTCAGAGGCTCAGGCCTGACACCTGGCTGGAGCACCAAGACCATGTCAGCCACATGACCATGTACGTGGGGAGTTTCTTGCCTTTCGGGAAGTCTGAGGTCTTCTGCCAGTGTTCAGTAGATGTTCTGTAGGAGTTGCTCCACATGTAGATGTATTTTTTATGTATTTGTGGGGAAGAAGGTGATCACCACGTCTTACTCCTCCTTACTCCTTGAAGGTCCTCCCCAAAGCCTCAATCTTTATCTTTAAATTATATAGGGATATTTCTGAATAATTTTTTTTTCACCACACTATGTGGCTTGTGGGATCTAAGTTCCCTGACCAGGGATTGAACCCAGGCCACAGCAGTGAAATCCCAGAATCCTAACCACTAGGCCACCAGGGAACTCCCTGAATAATTTTTTTTTAAAGTCACACAAATTATATGTTTCTAAAATACAATGGTGGGACAGGCACAGGATGGACACTCTCATTCCAAAAGGGAGAAATAGGAAAGAAGAAAGGAGCGACCAGTCCCAAGTATGTTCAAAATCTTAAGGCAAGAGAATAATTAATTCTCTTTGGCTCCGTGTTCTTCCCTCTAGGCACACTGGGGATTTTGTTTCACTTCCGGATCCATTGGAGTGAAGGTCCTGCCTTCCAGATACACTGGGCTGGCAGTTCTAGGTTGGACACCCAAGACTCCTGGAGGCCTGCCCCATGGTTTTGCTGAGCACAGCCCACACTGCAGTTCTCATGGACTGAAGTCATATGCCTGTGGCTCCCCAGGCTTAAATAATGTGCAGTGGTTCTACTAGTCTGGGGTCCTGGAAGTGACCTGCCCCCATGGCTCTGCTGGGTACTACCCTAGTGTGTGCTCTGTAAGGTGGCCGCCTCTCCAGGGTCATAGGCCCTCGGCTCCAGTAATCTCCATCCTTCAAAATCTGGGTGGAATTTGCACACCAATGGAGAATGCCCAGCGTGGACACTGCCAAAGCCTGCTGTCTGTGCCTTCTAGAGGAGTGGCTACTGTTGCCTGTGCTGTGGAGTGCTGGGAATGGAACCCAAGTGTGTGGCAACTCTGTCATGCCTCTGATAAGGCATGAAAAGGTCCAGAAGGCACTGGAGACCCCTCCTTTGAAATTGATCTGATGATCTCTGGATCACCCTTTGGAGCAAGGGGGTGATTCTGCTATTGTCTTGTACATAGCTCCTGACTTGTGGAGATGACTTACTAATCTTATCAAGTGGTTTGCTTGACCACATCCTTAGTGTTCTATTCAGACCATGCTTTCTCAGTCTTTTCTATATGGATGGCCTGGGAATTTTCCAAATCTTTAAAGTTCCACTGTTCTTTGATGAATAATTCCATCTTTAAATCACTTTTCTCTTCCTACATTTTACTAGAAGCTTATAGCAAAAGGAAATAAGCCAGCCACTCCTTCAACACTTTGCTGAGATATTTCCCCAGTTAAATATCCAACTTATTTTCTAAAGTTGTACATTCCACAAAACACTAGGACACAAACCCACTCCAGCCAAACCCACTCCAGCCAATTTCTTTGCTACTTGATAACAAATGGCTTTTCCTCCATTGTCCAATAACATAATCCCCATTTCTGCCTCATTAGTATGGCCTTTCCAGTCCATATCCTACCAATCTGTTCAAGATTACCTAGGTATTTTCTAAGGTATTTTCTAAGGAGGTTGGGGGTTTTCTATGCAACTTTTCTCTTTTCTTTCTAGGCTGTCACCAAGAGTCTGTCCACAGCACTGTAGGCTTTCTAGTCTTCTGCTCAAAACTCTTCCAATCTCTATCCAATACCTAGTTCCATGCCATTCACACTATTTCAGGTAACTGTTACCTACAACAGTACTTCCAGGAACCGATTTTATGTTATATTATGTTAAGGCAGCAAAACACCATTATTGGGTGACTTATACATAAGAGAACTTTATTTCTCAGTTCTGGAGGCCAGTAAGTCCAAGATCAAGGCACCATCAGATTTAATGTCTGGTGAGAAGCACTTCCTGGCTCATAAATGACATCTTCTCACCATAACCACACAGGGTAAAAGGGTGAAGGATCTCTCTGAGTCATCTTCTATAAAAGCACTAATCACCTTCCAAAGACCCCACCTGCTAATACCACCACCTTGGGGGTTAGGATTTAAAACGTTCATCTTGAGCACACCCCAATCAAGATTCAGAAGTTTCCCATCACTCCAGAAACTTCCCTCCATCCCTCCCTTCCCTCACATCACGAAAACAGTGATTTAAATTCTATTCCCCTATATTACTATGGACTATTCCAGAACTTCACACAAATGAAGTCCTATATGAAGTTTCTTTGGTCTGATTTCTTTCTATCATCATAATATCTATGAGATAGATACATCCATGTTCTTACACATGTTGGAAACTTGTTCAGATTTATTGAGGATTATCCCACTGAATGAATATGCCATTTTGTTTGCCATTCATCTATTGAGTACTGGTTGTTTGTTTCCAGTCTCTGGAATAAACTTGTGAATAATGCTGCTATGAATATCCACATACGAATCGCTGTGGGGAACGTCCTATGGCTGGAATCACTGAGACGTAGGGCAAGTATAAGTTTAACTTTATTAGAAACTATTATTATCCAGCCTACCTTTTCTACTCGTGACACTATTTATTCTTTTGTTCCGTAAATCACCCCCAACACATTCCATTTTTATGAAGTATGAGAGAATCTGATTCTTTCCTCAAAATTCTTACAAAAAGAAGCTTCCACTCTCCTCTCCATTTCATAATTTCTTGATTACAAATTGAAGCCTTGTCTCATTTTGGTTTCAGGGAAAAAATGTCAATCACTGTCTTAAAATTGCACCAAACCACTGATTCTTCCCCTGTGACTTCTCCAAGAGACCGTGGGACCATTCAGCCCAAGCTATACACTCCATTTTTCCTAATTTCTCCCATGTTTCCTCCTCTCTAAGAGCCCTGTGCCAGGATCCCCAGGATCACTTAGCACAGCCCCTCCCCCTCATGAATACACCATTGTTATGTAAGAGCTTCCCCCTCCCTCCTCCACCTCTCTGGGGAGGCCCAGCCTCCAGCCTCTCTCTGCTCTCCTCAGGACTAGACTGCTGTTTAGCAGTTGCTGTTGCAGGGATAGTCTTGCCTGCCTCCCGCTGGAGTGGATTTCTTTGGTCACAGGCTTCTTCACTCATGGGGCCTGCCTGGGCCCAGGCCCACCTGGCAGGTGATCTCTGGCTGCCTCTGCTCTGGCTACTCCTGTTTCCGACCTGCTGCTCCCATGACCCCCCAGGTTGGCGCTTCACTTCCTCTGAAATTGTGATCCCCAGGAAGGTGTCCCACAGAGTGCGTGGAGCTGCAACACAAGGCCAGCTCTCCTACAAGATTCGCTTCAGTGGCCAAAGACACGTGCTTCACATGAGAGTCAAGAAGAGCTTGCTGCCCAGGCATTTTCCTGTTATCACCGATAACGACCAAGGCGCCATGCAGGAGGACTACCCTTTTATCCCCCGAGACTGTTACTACTTTAGCTACCTGGAAGGGGTTCCTGGGTCCATGGGCACACTGGACACCTGCTATGGGGGTCTGCATGGCATGCTGCAGGTGGATGACTTCACTTACGAAATCAAACCACTGGAGGCTTCTTCCAAATTCGAGCATGTGATTTCTCAGCTTGTGTCGCAAAAAACACCAGCAGAGGATGCAAAATGTAAGATTGAAAGGGAAGATACAAATCAAGCATATGAGGAGGCGATGACTGCTGAGATACCTAGAGCAGGTCCTGCGTATTTGTGGTGGCCGCATAGGAAATACTTAAAACTTCACTACACAGTTTCTAGATCATTATTTCTTAAGGACACTAATCATACACATATAATAGAGAATGTAGTGATTATAAACAACATATTGCATACCATTTTCTACCAGGGTCAACTTCAGGTTTTGATTCGTCTTATGTGCATATGGGATCGCTCGGATAAGGTGAATTTACATAAGTGGCCTAATGCTGCAACTGCAGTAAGGGAATTTGGTTTATGGAAATGGTGGGGATGGTTTAAACGAATTCCTCATGATAGTTCAATGCTTTTCACAGGACATAAAATCGCTAGGTCCTCATATTTTAGCTCCCATGAAGGAATATGCAACCCCAATTGGGGAGCATCGTATGTATTTGTTTTAAATTATCACATATTTTTAGCTGCAACTGTTGCAGCACATGCAATAGGTCATGTTCTGGGCTGTGTACACGATGGTCCAGGTTGTCACTGTTTTCGAAGAGATCACTGCATCATGGCTCCTGAGCCTGGTCTTCTAGATATGATGAGCAATTGTACATATAGCCAACTGTATAAGCGGGTTTCTATGTGGGATCCTTGTTTGAGTATACCAAATGTACCATACCGTAATTTTCCTTATGTAGCTCCTCGCTGTGGTGACAAGATCATAAATCAGAGGGAAGAATGTGACTGTGGCACCTTAAAAGACTGTGCTAGGGATCCGTGTTGTCAGAACAATTGTTCCCTCACCCGTGGCAGTGATTGCAATGAAGGAAGTTGCTGTGTTAAGTGTAAATATGCTCAACCTGGAACTCTTTGCAGAGATACTCTTGGTATTTGTGATTTACCAGAATACTGTAACGGGACAACGCATGTTTGTGCAGCTGACACTTATATCCAGGATGGAACCCCATGTTCGCCATTAGCTGTTTGTGTGAAGGGAAACTGTAGTGACCGTGATATGCAGTGTCAAGCCCTCTTTGGCTATAAAGTAAAAGATGCTGCACCAGCATGCTATAAAACATTGAATATCTTAGGTGACCGATTTGGGAACTGTGGTGTGAGGGTGCTTCGAGGAGGAGGAAGACCTGTAAAATGTGAAAAAGATGATGTTCTGTGTGGAATGCTGCACTGTGCTAATGTGAAGGTACTTCCTGGTGGTGGGGAGCACACTACATTTCATCATATAGTAGTACAAGGTACTAAACCAGAAAGCTGCTTTGGGTACGATGCCCACTTTGGGACAGACTCACCAGAAATGGGGCTTGTAGTGGATGGTGCATCATGTGGCCCAGGATCATACTGTAAGAACCAAAACTGTACTTCTTTTCAAGACCTGCGTTTTGACTGTGATGTCAAGATGTGCAATTACAGAGGGGTATGCAACAACCGAAGACATTGTCACTGTCAGCGAGGCTGGAAACCACCAAATTGTAGCAAGAAAGGACCAGGCGGCAGTGTAGATAGTGGCCCCCCACCTGCCAGAGAAATAGGTATTCGAGCCAGGCTACTAGAGAATATAAACAGAGGAACAACTCTACTGCTTCTTCGTCATTCCCTTCTTTTGCTTTCAGCGGTGATAGGTGCCTTTTTCTATGTAAAAGATACTATGGAAAACGAAAAACTGTTGGAAAAAATAACCTCTTGAACCCAAGTAAATACAAACCGGAACACACAAAATGGAGAAAATTACTTTGGCACTTACTGGAAGAAATGATCGATAATCACTCTTACAGGATTAATTACGTAATTCTATAACTCTTCCCAAGTTGTTATCTTGAAATAAAATGACTTGGCAATTTAAAAAGGGTCTGTGTGATTAAATGCATTTAATATTTTATATCTGATTATAGTCTTACTACTCCTGTAGATGATAGTGGGAACTGTTAGATTCAACAACAAGAGGACTTATACTTATTTATGTTGTGCATACTAAAGTTTCACAGATATGCCTGTAGCACTCTTTGTTTGAACCGGTATGCACTTGTTTAATAGTTTATTAGACTTTCCCTTAGTTGATTATGTACTAGATTTGTGTCATTCGTTCATGTTTTTGCTAGTGTTAAATAAGCCTAACATAAAAGATAGCATAAAAGACACCTTGACAGATACAGTAGGAGGATCAAAAATTTTGGCTCATAAGTGCATGAATATCAACAGTAGTTCAACAACCTGCTAAGTATGTGATCTTGTCCAAAGTCATAGGCTTTCAGAGGATCAAGGTTATATGTGACACGTTACACTGAGAGATGAAATATACTTTTCTGGGGTTTTGTGATGGTCCAAAGAAAGGCCCCAAGAAGGGCCTGGAATATGTTAGGCACTTAATAAATGCTGACTCTTTCATTCTCATTATTATCTTGGGTAGTGCTAAAACAGAAGTATTCCAAGTATAAGGACTTCGGCATTTGATATCTTTTATTGTAAAGCCATCACACAAGGAGCCATTGATCACTGATTTATCACTTCTTATGGGCCCTAGTTATTAATGTCATACCATCTCACATTTAAAATCCTAGGAATTGCCCAAGCACAGCCAGTCTATAAAGTACAGGATGAAACTGCGTGCCTGATGTACAATACATACAGGAACAAAAACTTACATAAAAGGAAACAGGAAGCAATTGCTTCATCAGAGAGTATTAGAAGCAGGTCTCATAAGTGAGATGTGTTATATTCGTGCTATTAAAATGTCTCAGACGTTGGATCAAATCCCTTTCTAAATATGGAGTCCAGATGAGGGTAGCTACCTAAGGGAAGAGGAAGGATGCAGCAGTAGAGAATCAATGGGATTGCCACTCTGTGACATTTTAATTTGTCCAACTTTTATAGAGTTCTCTTAGGCAGCATTTCTTGTCCACAGAGCTTATCCAGTAGAGTAATCTGGATCTTCATCCTTGACAGGTCTGAGACCCAGTTTACTATACCCTTGTCAAACATATGTTACTGCATTCGCTCTTTGCACCAATATCTATTAAAATCGAAGTTGGATGACCATTTACGAACATGGTTACTTCGCCTTGATCCAAAGGCACCTGATGAAAACAAAGTATCTTTCTTCCTGTGGGTCGGGGTGTGTGGTCGGGGTGATTTTGTTTCAAATTAGCAGTCCATTTGCCAAAAGGTGAAAACTGTGGCCCCTGTAGCTTTTTTTCTCTATTTCTATTTTTCTGATATCTATTCATGTCCTTATTGGTCTTTTTGCACTGGTGAAGGACCTTTTGTTTCCCTCAAGGTGTTTAATTTGTAGTACCATACAGTCAATTGTGTATGTTTTCTCTTTGGTTACCAGGCTATCTCCAAAATCTTGACCTAAGTGTTTTACCCTGAGGCTGAGTGTGATCTCCAGTCTATTTTATGTTTCTAAACAACATTTGATATTCCAGGTATAGGCCATACTTTTAAAAGGTGGCTGTCTCGTGTTAAGCTCCAACATGGGTATTCCTGAAAAGCAGTTTCTAATTGGTGCCAGATATGTGAGACTGAATCATTACAGCCAAGTTCATGTGGTTGGATTATTCCCAGTCAAATAAGGGCAGACACGCTCAGGGATAGCCTTAGAAGATTTTTTTTTTCCTATTGCTAGGGCTATGGCATATCAAGAAAGGGTGAAGTTCCAGAACAAAGGTAAGTGGGAGCACCAGAAGGTGAAGAAGAGAATCAAGGGGGCAGAAAGGAAAACAGGGGGAAGGATAGGAGGAAGGTGAGAAAGGAGTGGGGTTGTGAGACACACAAACATAGGTAGACATAGAAAGACAAGGTCTCTGGGACAGGAAGAAGCAATGTGAAAGTTGTATACTAGGGGTCACAGAATATTAGAATCTGTTCAAAATCTTTCCTTTCTTGGCCTCTTTGTACCAACTTGATCTCAGAGAGACAGCAATGAGCTGTCCTGAAGAGGGATCTTAGTTCCCTGCCCAGGAATTGAACTTGGGTAGCCTGGGTGAAAAGCCAGGAATCCTAACCACTAGACCACCAGGGACTAGAGGCTAGAAGAAAAGTCCCCATGGCTCTTGCCCCCATTTGAAAGCAAGAATGTTTCAAGGAGGCAAAAACTGCAAAAACAGGTACAAATTTATTATTAGAGACACAACTCAATAAATGGGAGAGCACCGGAGAAACAGTTTGTTTATTTAATACTGAAGCAAGACAGAAATACACACCCAGAGAGAAAGGAGAGAAGGAGTATGGGTGTCCTCTCTAATCTAATGAGGAGTGCAGTAAAGAGGTGATTTAAATCACTTATATAGGATGGTTCTTCCGGGTCTTTGTTTACCTTTGGTCAATCATCTTGTTGCTTTTTTCACACCTGATCTGTCCTAGGGCCCTCCCCAACATGCACGTGCAACATTTTGCTAAGATGGATCCCACCGCAGAGGCCCCTGGGGGTATGTCCACAGGTTATTAGGGGGTGGCGCCCCTCCCTTTTTGACCCCCAAGGAGCCTTCCTGCGCATGTGCAGACAGGGAAGTTTTCCTTGACCTCAGGAGTGGTCATCTTATCTCTTTACTTCAGCAGAGCTCAGCTTCTGCCACTAGCTTTGCCCTTGGAGTGTCTGGGGCGAGAACAAAGCTTCACTTTTACTCCACTTGACAAACACCAGCTGTGCAGCCCAGGGGCCCATCTATCTCTACCTCAAACTGAGGTAGACTGCCCATGGTGTGATGGCTATTCTAATGCCCTTTCTTCTAAGGTGCCACACTCACAAGTCTGACATGCCCAAGGAACCAAAGGGCCACTACAGTTTGAGATCGTACTCAATGAAACCATGCAACTTTGAGAAGAAATTAATAGAGTAAGGATCTTTCTGGCAGACCATATTTCTAGAGTAAATCTGACCAGCAGTTTGGGTAAAAGAGGAGTTTGCCCGGGCAAAAGAAGTCTGAGGTAGAAGGAGGGACATGACCTACCTTAGGAAAAATGCCTAATTCTCTGCTTGTCCAAAATTCTCCAGAAAGCAGAAGAAAATTACTGACCTCAGTCTGACAAAAGGTTGACCTTCAAGGGATGGTCATGGCCCCGCAACTCCAACTATGAAGAAACAAACAAAAAAACCAAAAACAAACAAAAAATAATAAGAAGAGATGGAGGACTTACCTCCACACCAAAGATCAGTTGATCAGTTCTGTTTTTGACCCCACCAGGGAGTGCTGGAAATTCTTCCACCTTCTCCCAAGCAATGGCACCAACTTTTTTTTTTTTTTTTTAAGATTTCTGTGACTCCAATAGAGGGTAAAGCCTTCACTGAGTTGAGGCATAACAGAGAACAACAGCAGACCAGGTGACTTCACAGCTGAAGCAGGCTCAGGGTTTCTGTAAGAGGAAGAATCGGAGGAACTGTCCTATATTTTAACTTTAGCAGCAGTTTTACGTTTAACCAAGACGAGTGCTTGAGGCTCTTTCCTGTTATCCTGCCCCTTGAAGGAGTCCCGATAACCAACAGAACACTATTGCTGAGAACTGTTTCTGCAAGCCTTGTGGTAGTTTTAGATACTCATGGGGTATGAGTATAAGAAAGGAGAAAGTAGATGGGGAAGAGTACAACATACAGGAAAAACAGGAGACTCTCTATATTGTTTGTTAAAAAATTTTGCATCTTTATCCTCGAGGAGTCTGAGACCTCTCAGGCCAAGATTGTTGCACAAGTCCATTCCAGTTACCATTGCCCAAGCAAGGAAGTTCCAGGAGTCTGGCAAGAGTATCACCTGGGTTCCAAAGGTAATCCTCCAAGCCTCTACTGAGGAATAGCAGCCTTAACTTCCCTGCTACTCCGGGTCAATGACTCCATCCATAATGGTGACTCCTGCTCTCACAAGCTAGTCTTTGGACATATGATGACTGAGGGGCCTTGATGGCCACTGTACCTTGCAGTTCCATGGCATTCATGCTGTATCCTTGGCAAAAGTGCATTCTCTGTGGACCAAGACCTACCTACAGCCCTGGAGAATACACAGTTGCTGGGAGGACAAGCAGAAAAACCACCAGTGGATCATTAAGAGTCATGGTAAGTAGGGCCACCCAACTTCTACTCCTTGCTTCCCGGTCCCATATATTCCTCATAATGGATATACAGTACCATGTAGCAGTCTTTGATTGAACATACACACTGTACCCTGAAGGATGGCACTCTATCCTTCCAGGATATTGTTTCTGAGCTGATGTTTCGGCCGTGCCTTCAGTAGCTCATTGCAGTGCAGTGTGCGGGTGGTTGCCAGTGAATATTTGATGTGGTGCAAACAATGGATTCCATTGGGATGGGCCCATTCCTTTACCTCATTCACTGAAGGCTGAGGTCTCTGTTCACATCCTAAGCCACGTGGGATTCCATGGTTAAAGATCACACATTTCATAAGCAAGCCCCCAATACTGATGCTGGCTGTGGCTCTGCAGGCACAAAAGGCTACTTATCACATCTAGAATTACTATCTATTCTTGCGAGGACCAAATGCTGGCCCTTCCAGATTGGAAGGGGCCCACGGTAGTTGACTTCCCACCAATTAACTGCTAGGTCTTCTTGAGAAATAATGACTTCTCAGGACTTCAGCAATGATCTTTGTTGTGGCAAGTTGGACATTTAGAGACGGTAGTACCTGGACTGACTTTCTTGGCAAGTGGGAGTCTATGCTATTGAGCTCACTGTAGCCACTACCTCTGCCACCATGGCCACTCTGTTCATGTGCCCATTGTGCCAGTTCCATGGTGGTTAATGGTGAAGATTGTCTAATGTTGATTGGCTGAGTCATTTTGTCTGCCTGGTTGCTCAGGGCCTTTTCCAGGATGGATGCTTCTTGATAGGCAT